TACAACAAAACAATAACAGGTCTATTTTTACATAATTCTACTGAATTATGTGAAAATAGAGTGATGTCTACCATTAAATACATTCCAAATTCTATTCTGGATGTAGGAAAATGAGATAAGGAGGATGTTGTATTATTTAGCCATAGACTGTTAAGCCAAGTCAGAAATCAGAGAAAGGTTAAGGATGAGGTTAAACAGTGTGAGAAGATCATTTTACTCAATACGTTCTATGTATCTATTCTACAGATCAGAGGAAGATGCTTATATTCACTCATTAGAACAAAAACGGTACTGCCTGTGAGTGTATGCACAAACCTTGGAGGAATGTTACATCTTAATCATAAACGGCTGTATTTGGGTATTTTATCTGTTGTAAAGTGCATTTGTTTCTTATTTATCAAGACAAATGTTGACCAGTTATAAGCAAAGTATGACTTTACCCTACAATTTAACCTGTTTTAGCCTACTGATGTTCAATAGCTTCTGATACATTTGTAGCATATTTTTGGTGGCAGAGAGCAGCCCTCTATGATGCTAATAAAAAAGTCAAATATTCAAAACAAGAAAATTACATCTTGTTCCAATTTAAAGGGTTACTCCAACCCTTTTGGAGGGGAGGCAACCTCAGTCCAACCGGATCTGACACCCCCCTCTAACATCACTGGGGCCTTGCGTGATCCAATCACAGGCTTCTTAAGTCTGTCAATTTGTTAATAAATTTTTCATGGGATGTATAGTTGGAGAGACTCACAGAATTCCTGATACAAGCATCTGTCTGAGTGCTAAATGGTTGTTTGAAGGACATAAAAAGTTGAAATTCTCAACACTTGACAGACTGCAAATTCCTGTGTAGTGGTTATGGTACTTGAAGAATCAATGGACAGCGAATTAACTAGGCTACCTTCGGCACTCCAGATGTTGTGAACTATATCTCCCACAATGCTTTTGCATCCATAATGCTAACAACGCATTAGGGAGATGTAGTCCACCACATATAAAGTGCTGAAGCTTGCCTACCCTTGGTCTAGCCCAGGGATAGGCAACCTTTGGCACTCCAGATGTTGTGGACTACAACCCCCATAATGCTCTTACACCCATAATGCTGACAAAGTCCAAAACATCTGGAGTGCCGAAGGTAGCCTATCTAGACAGTTCATTCGCTGTCCATTGATTTTAACAATTACCGATTACTTTTCGATATCCTGTAGGAAAAGTAAGAAATCAGAGAAAGGTTAAAGGACCACTATAGTGCCAGGAAAACATACTTGTTTTCCTGGCACTATAGTGCCCTGAGGGTGCCCCCACCTTCAGGGACCCCCTCCCGCCCGGCTCTGGGGAGAAGAAAGGGGTTAAACTTACCTCTTTCTCCAGCGCCGGGCTGGGAGCTCTCCTCCTCCTCTCCGCCTCCTCTCCTCCCTTTCGGCTGAATGCGCACGAGCGGCAAGAGCTGCGCTTGCATTCAGCCGGTCTCATAGGAAAGAATTCATAATGCTTTCCTATGGACGCTTGCGTGTTCTCAGTGTGATTTTCACAGTGAGAAGCACGCAAGCGCCTCTAGCGGCTGTCAATGAGACAGCCACTAGAGAAATTGGAGGAAGGATTAACCCTCAGTGTAAACATAGCAGTTTCTCTGAAACTGCTATGTTTATAAAAAAATGGGTTAACCCTAGCTGGACCTGGCACCCAGACCACTTCATTAAGCTGAAGTGGTCTGGGTGCCTAGAGTGGTCCTTTAAGGATGAGGCTAAAAAGACTATCTTACAGATTCCAATAAATAACAAAACTAAAACAAAAATTATCCACAAAACTAAAACGTTATTCTCTCTATAAATGTTTGAATGTTAAGTTCTTATCTCACTGATCACTGAGACCAATACAGTTGGGATTAGGATTGTTACCAAATCACCATTATTCTCCAAGTTAGCTGTGAGTCTCTCAAATGATCATCATCCACAATCCTTGATATAGTTCCCTGTAAAGCACATAAATAAATAACAAGGGCTTGCATTATTTTTTAGACTTGAGTTGCTAGATAGGTTAACAGAGGATAATGCTTTTCCTTCAGGGCCACACACCCTCACAGCATGGATTAAATGTTTCCTTGAAGTGCCTAATTGCCTTAACATTTATTGGGTGGATTAGTTTAGGTAACATCTTGATCCATTTTTGTATCTTTGCTTTCATCGATTTAAGTGGCTATTTCATCATTTCTGCCAAGGGGACAGTTAATTCCTCATTTAATTCCCAATTCCTCGAAGCCATGCTATGCACATTTACTCATGTTGTTCCTCGGGTTCTCCTTAATTAACCCCTTTCGTGTAAAAAAAAAAAAAAGACACTTTGATTTATCAATTACTTTTGTTATTAATCCTAGACTCAAGACCAGCAACATAAGCTGAATTCTCAATGAGCAGAGTTCCTCAACTGTGTCAGATTTTACTCACATTTGTATTAGTCTTTGTTGGCATGACACCATGCTACAGTAGATACAGGCTAGCCACATCCACTTTTGGCATTACTGAACCATATTCAGGGTTTAAGAATTCATGCCTCGTGGCTTGTTTGCCCCAGCTGCAGGCAGGATGGTAGGCAACCTTCAGCACTCCACATGTTGTGGACTACATTCCCCTGATGCTTTGCAGCATTATCGTTGTATTAGTATTATGAGAGATGTAGTCCAAAACACCTGTAATGCTGAAGGTTGCGTACCTGATCAGTCTAGTCAACAATTGCTTGGCACTCAACTCAAAAACTGCACACAGAAAAATATCCATAGAAAATCACTCCACAATTAATTACAACTAAGCTTAAAATTATGTAGTTAACACAATCCAGCAAAAAAAAAGAAAAAAGAAAAAAAAGAAATTACATTAAATGAGTCTGAAAATGTAGTGTAACTCCATCATATTTCTAAAGTTTTGTACCTTGCAAAAATAATTAATACAATACACAGTATGTGTTGTAATCTTTCTTGAAGTCGAAATTTGCTTTGGAGATGACGGGGTTAACATGTATCTGCTAGCAGGCATCAATATTTTTTCAGAATAATTCTAGATAATTGTATGTTTTGTGATGAAATAAGCATGTTTGTAGCAATGCACAGTAGTATATTGCACAATATCAATATGCCCATAACAAGGTACATGTATATACATCATATACACCTGCTGGATCGTTTGATGTACCCTATTAAAAGCAAACTTGCAGAGTAAACACTATAATGAGGATGTTCTCAGGGGTGTGTCAGAAATCACCTGCTTTTAGTACATACACGCAGGCCTGGACAGGGCACGCAGTCTGTCATCTTAAAACGTAATCCAGCTCTGTCATTGCTGGAGTTAACAGAAAGAAGCATTTTATCGCATGGGCTGAATTACCAAAATATATTCCACGTTTAGGGCTTAACTTAAAGCAGCATAGGAGAATTCACATTCATTGTTCACAGCTGGTTCAGATACAGAGACAACTGTCCTAATAGCAGAATCAACAATCAGGTTTTGTTTTGTTTTTTAAATGTTCCTTTAAAATGGCTCTGTCACCTTTCAATATTTCATAAAGATTTTTTAATGAAATTTTGATCAAGGCAGTGTTGAAATTCCAACGCAATCCAAAGATACTATAAGAATAAGTAGGGAATACTTGGTCTTATGGTAAGGTCTGGGGTTACCAAAAGGCAGAGCTCCACCATGACCTTTTGACCAATCCAGCTGCCGTCACAAATGATGGCCATGGGATTTGGGCTGTGTCTAATGGAGGATTCTGCGTTCTCATGGGATCCTCCATAGATTTCAGTGTTGTACTCTTATGGGATGGGTGATAGTACAGCACTGACGTGGCTCCTGGCAACTGAAGTGCCAGAAGCCAAAGAGGACAGGGGTCTTTGCAAATTATGCAGTGCCCCCCAAAAGTAACAGATCTGATTTAAACATCTGTTTAGTAGCTTTGAAATTAACTTTCACGTTGTGGGTGTACAAGAGCACAAGACCCTTTCTTAATGTAATTAATTCATGCACACTAAAAGCCTCTTAAGGCTTCCTTATGTGAAATCATTGGATTGGATGAGATTGTTAGTAATGATGATCTCAGAGGAGACGTGGTGGTGAGACCGGTACATCAGGGAAAATAAGGTAAGCTAAGCTTATTTATTTATTACTTCTGGGGGGCCTGATAGTCTAAATAGATAGTATAACACTCTAGTGTTCGGATGGATGTTTGTTATTCCTAACACTACCTTTAATCTGACTTTTTTATGATATGTCTTAAATATTAATAGAAATACAACATTTCATGCCAAGTTTTTTCTGCCTCATTCTTTTTGTCTCTCGCTCCAATAATGGGGTTTATTCACGAAAGTGTTAGAGATTATATCTGAATCGGTTATTGTTTGTTATTTTGCCATTTGATTTTTATGTCATTATAATTTGTGGTTGAGTGAATAAAACCTTAATATTTTACCGCCGATTTTCTAGTCTTTCTCACTATTGTTTTCATTTTTTTTAGTCCTTTCTCTGGTAATCCGTATGTCTCTCACAACTCCCTCTTCCTAATTCTCTCACTACACATATGGTTGTACAGCTGGCTAATATACTCCCTGGGGCAGTCTCCTAACTCATTTTGGTATGTTAGCTAGTACGCAGCCTTTTCCTAGCATGCCAAGACAGAAAATTCACAGAATTTACTGGCCACAAGTGGTGTGAGTGGGAATGAGATGGTGTGCATGATGCAGAATCATTCTTCACACAGTTAGCTTTATCACCACAGATACCACCACACACAGGGAATAATTAGCAAATGTAGTCAGACCCCAGGCTTAATATGGACCAATTTCTCAGTATGTGTGTGTTACACACAAACACACACACAAACAATGTTAGGATGATGATCTGTCTTCTTTTTTTTTCTCCTTAATTCTTTATTTTTGCTGTGCATGAGTTTACAATCAAGCCAAGACATCATGGCATTTAATAAAATTGCAAATTTTTTTAAAGTTATAGTAGACAAGAGTATTAGGCTGGTCAAGCATGTCTAACTGTTACGCTAAAATCAAGACTCAAAGGACTAACTAGACATGTGGCGTATAGTTAGATTCAGAAAGTAGGTTATAAGCTATATATAGAGTGAAACATGACCTGCAGTTTTACTATATAACATGCTCACTAGTAACTCAAATGAGTAGACTACTGGTAACGAAATTAAACCTTACGTTAAAGAAACTCAACTATGACTAACAGAAATAATAATAATAATAGCTTTCTGCAAGACATAAGATAGAAACCAAGGTGGCGTCCGCCTGTGTGGGTAACCACAGATTGCAGGTGAAGTCCTGAAGCCAGGATCGACCAATTCCCCTGAGTGGTAATAGCAAGGTGTTGCCCGGAAAGTCACCATGCATGTCTGCAGATTTATACCATTGTTGTGCGAGCTGACCTCGTCACTCCCGGGGCTTGGAGGCTCTCTACGGCGAACGCCTTCTCTCTGCAGGGGCAGCACAAGGGACCAGGATTAGGCTGTCGCTCTTTGCGGCTGTTTCTCCTTGCCCAGGAGTTCTGCATCTATTGTTTTCCTCCAGATCCTCGCTTCCAGATGCTGTGTTTTCGGCGCTTATGTGCCCGTTGTTTGTGACGCCGTCTGGGGAATGCCTTGGATAAATCCAGTGCCGTGGTGTTGACCTGCAGACCAGACATGGGGTACTTTAGCTTGAACCACAGGGGTACGTGTGAGTACCCGATTGCTGAGTTTGACCCAGAATTGTACACGCAGGCAAACGCCTGAAGAAGAGGATCCACATGGGTGGGTCACTTTGTTTAGGCGTGTGTCACAGTAGGCCCTGGTGGGACAGCAATCTTAAGTTATAGGCCGCAACACTCCAAACCTTGAGAATTTCAATGTCTTGTAGAGTAGGTCACAAGATTACACCAGTAGGGACCGGGATATCCCCTACCGGTCCAAAGGGGACAGTGCTCAGAAACTGATACTGCAGATGCCAACAGGTCCAGGCCGGGAGATCGGCCATTTCTCCCCTCCGTGGATCACACCAGGTGTGTAGGCCGCAAAACAGTCCCAGGGCACAGGCTATGTGGTGAGACTCTAAACTTGTTCAGGTGAGTACTATAGACCCTACTATATATATATATATATATATATATATATATATATATATATATAAATATCTATCTATTTTTACAAATATATATATTTGTATGTGTGTGGAAATGCCTGAAAGCAATATTATGAGAATCCAGTAACACAAAACAAATGAACTGCACTCATAGACTTCATAAAATACTAGTATGAATATACTAAGATCTTAGCATTCCAATCTACAGAGTCCTCCCATCTCGGCCACCATTTTTAGTCAGCGATTAACTATTTTAAAAGGAGGGAGAGAATAGTATAACAATTTATATTTTCAGCATCCAGTATTTCCCCGCCAC